GCCACAGCCAAGGCGAAGAGCCGGGTTTACAGCAGGCAAGGCGGGAAGAGCACGAGGAGTCCGCCTGGTGACCCGCAAGAGGAAACTCCTCCCTGAAATCTTCCCCTTACAGCTTTTATCTGTAAATGAAGCAATAGCTTTGAACTGGGACATCTGAATGCCTCTTTTCCTGGAGGGCTGAACAAAATATTTTTCCCACTTTAAGAGAGACAAAAAGCTCAGCCTGAACAAATACTCCAGACACTCCCTCCCAGCAGGAGGAGCTGATTTTGTAACTTGTAAATTGTAATTTATGGGATTAGATTTGGGTCCGAGTCCAAGGCCCAAAATAAGCTCTTTAACCTAAGTGTTGCTTTACAGTTTCATACCTATACTTGTCAGAGCCGAGCAGGTTTCTACATTAAGATCAAGATTATTTCTCTACCTGACGGCTGCAGCAGTGTTTTCCCGTCAGCTCCAAGGTAGTGACCTGGTCACTTGGAGCAGAGATTTGCACCACGCGGGAGCACACGGCACCCTGCAGCAAGGGGTGCACAGGGCGCGATGTTGCTACCGCCCTGGGGTGCGAGCTACATACAACCCACGGAGCCAGCCTACGGAGGAGAAACACCTCGTCGGTCAAGAGGGGGCTCTACCAACCTTTCCTTATGAAACTCTGAACTTCCGCTCATGGAGACTACAGCCAGTCAACACAAACACCCAAATCTGCCAGGGATAAATAACTCTGATCTAACTGTTAAAAATTATGAGGTCTGACTTTCAACAACAGAAGTGAAATTACTTGTACGGTTACTGACACTGTTTACACAAATAAGCATTGCACATTTAAATGACTAATGAGATTGCAAGTACAGTGATCATGCATGCAGAGCAGTGTTTACTATCTTCAATCCTGCATACTCAAATTGCTTGAAAACGTTTTGGACAGAATGGGGATTTCACAGATACGCTCTGCTGAAGACAATTTGTAGGCACAACCCATTATTTGAGAGCACAGTGTCTTCTCCAAAAGCAGAGCAGCCATCTACCACAGAGCTCCATGGAGAGCTGCAGAGGAGTGCTCGTGGCAGGGAAGGAAACATTTTCACAGTATCCTATACTCCTTGATCAAGCAATGCAGTTCATGAAGTAAATAAAACAGCTGAGTCTGCCATACTTTCCTTGAGCTTTTGAAAAGCTCTAAATTTCGGACACAGAGGACAAGTTCTCAGTCCCTAATAGAGCAGCGTTCCCATGCACATCTGACGGAGGCACTCGTCCCCTCCTGAGCCACCCAGCCATCTCAGGTTCTACAGGGCGCTGATCTGATCTGCCACAGGAGCAACCATGCTTTTCACCTTTTCTATAGCTCGTCCACTTCGCAGTTCTGCAAAACCCATGCTAGGAAACTGAAGGAGGACAAAAAAATTAAGAGGAGAGGAAAAAAATCCTAATATTTGTATAACTGAGCAAAACTTTACCTTGGCTTTGAATAGTGCTTTTTGATTAGCTGGGTTATTTTCTTCTCATGAAGAAGTTATTGACTGTATTTAGCGAGAACAGCATACAAATCCTGGTGCTTTTTACCTCCATTGTCCAGTTGAAATAGCTCCAGTAAAGCACAAAATGCCAGCCATCATGCTTTATCTTTGTTTTTAGTTTTAACTCTCCATTTAGAATTTAATCTAAACAACCCATTTGCCAAACAACGCCTTCCTGCTCATGCTGTTTTAATTTCCTCAGAAAGAATCCCATAATATGCTAGGCAAGGCATCAACAATAATTAAACCCAACAGTGATTGAAAAATCAAATTTTCAGGGCCTTGCAACAAGCCCTAATGAATTCCAGACTTGCCTTCACCGACTTGCTCAAACTGGTTGCGCGACACTGCCAAGCCAAATTAAAACTTGACAGTATTTCACCCCGTGCCCAGAAAAAGTGCCCTTCTCATGATTCAGGAAATTAAACAGCCGTCTACTGCAAAGACGCCCATGTGCCTTTGGACATATATCATTCAGACAGCCATCCAAGTTCTGTATTTTTTCTTTGTTTTTCTTATGTCATTTCATTTCCCTTTTGAGGGGCAAACTAGCTGGGACTTTTCCTTTTTTATACTATTGTGCTTGGTTCCAGTTGAGGCGATACAAGACCGACAGCTTGTCAGAAAAGTTATGCAGAGGCGCTGCATTACCCCCCCCTCGACTTGCTCCACGCGGGTTTTAAGCTCGATGTTGCCTAGCTGTGAGCAACAACGAGAAGACAGGTCACACCAACGCTGCACCCCTCCACCTTGGGGAAGTTGTGTTATTCCCTTCACCGATTTAAGCAAAATTAAAGTTAAAGATGACATCTTGCCCTTTGCCCTGGCACTGAGGGGAGCTAAATATCAAGCCTTACATTTTTGGGAAGGCTCTGATGGATTTGTGCATTTGGAGGAGTTCAGAGCGTATTTTTCCCCTGAGGGCACCACAACACGGGGTGGATGGAGAAGGGGAGAGACAGAGGCCCCTGAACGCGGATGGGCGGGGGCCCAGGGAGGCTGTGCTGCACAACCCCACGCACCCGTGGGAAAGCTCCCTGCCAGAGCCACCACTTTCTCACGAGCCCAGGCAGGACTTTCCCCCAGAGTCACTGGCAGCACACTTCCAAGCAAGCAGGACAGAGGGACACCTCCACCTCCGAGGCAGATGGCCCTTCCCATCCTGCAAGTTAGGAAGGGATTTGAGGACAGCATTGGCAAGACGTTTCTCAGGAAATTTGGCAAAAGGCTCCATCCCTTCCCTGGAGGAGCCACACACCACACCCGGCAGCCCCACAGGGGTCCAGCCCGCACACCCCAGCTCAGCCACTCGGCACCAAGATGGGATTGACAGTCTGGGAACTTAGAACGGCTGACATCAAACATCCAGCTCATCTCCTAACCACGCAATGACATAAAGGCCTAGCAAGTAAGGTCATAAGAACACCTATTTCTGGGCAATCCATTCCACACGTTTTTATCTAGCAATTAACATCCCTTCCCTTGAGTTTGGCACCTGACCAAGAGGAGAACACAGTTATCCTGGGTCACCTGCCCAGAGGAGACAGTGGAATATTTTGTGGGATTTTCTGGGTGAAAGCAAGCCTTCAATAGCCTGATCAGGAGGAGTCAGCAATTCCTCCAGAGGAGGCAAGACTAGGAGAGGCAGTGGGCAGAGATCTTACACAAGCTAACTTTAATGACAAACCGTGGCTTTTCTCACTGGAGCATTACCAAAGCAGATGTCACGTACAGAAGCAAGAGCAAACGCAGACGCATCTTCAGACATGCCCACTCGTGGCTGGGCAGGACCAGAGAGCACCTGCGTGGCCACACGTGCCTGAGCACGATGCACAGCTACACGCACCCTGCCTTGCGGTCCTGCCCTATACACCTCCTCCTGCCAAAGCACAGGAAAACCAGTCCGCTGAGATACTTCAGAGGTTCCCTCCGCGCTCCCAGCCGAGCGCGCTGAAGCGGCCCATCGCTCACACCGCGTAGCGCTCCTCCCCTCGGCATCTGC